TATGTGCCAAACCGTGTAAGAAGTATAGCTGCTTTTGCAACGATGGACTCGTACGTAAAGACCCTGATCATTGTGTTGAGCCATCCGAGTGCTTATTAAATTACTCTAATCTACTTTACTACTTTAATCCAAACTACCAATATGATTATCATGATTAATTTTATTGGTATAAATTTTTGAATTATTGTAATTACAGTATTTAGTAAATTAAACATTAAAATCAAACGTTAACTATTAAAATATTGTTTATTTTGTTATTAAAAAATTTATTTTTTTTGGTTAAATTTTAATGAGACATTTATTAATTAAAAAATAATAATAAACTAAATATTACTGATTAATATTTGTATTAAAAATTTAAAACAATTAAAAATATTCAAAAAAAAAATTATTATAAAAAACAATAAAGCAATTAAAATGTCGTTTCATTAAATAATTAAATAGCAAAACAAACAGTTTAGTGAAATGATGAGGAAATTGAGTGGCCATGGGTTGCAATGACAACACTGGTGGTCAGTCACTGTCCACATCCGATGATAGCGATGCAGATTCATACATATTTGCCAACTCATAAGTCAATTGCCGGTTCTTTCGCTTCAACTTTTTGACGCAGTTGTGATCCACGCTATCGTTGAAAGACAGGTCACACTTGTGGCACACACCGTACGGACAGTTGGCCTCGTGATCGGCGAGAAGTGCGCCGCTGACCACCACTGAGCAGCCATTATCGGCGAACCGGCATTTGAAGCTCAGTTTACCCACAATATTATTGATCACAATATTAAGGTACGATTGATCAAAGTGCATACGAAAAATAATATGCTCGTCGCAGCCCTCGTGACTACACACCATGTAAGCGATGCGGACCCCTTTGACATACTTAAGATGATCGTCGACGATACAGTCGCGGCAGTGACTGTGGCCGCACTTCCCGACCACCGCTTTGTTCAATATGTTTGCACAGCGGCCGCACTTTAGCTCTTCGGCCAACCAGTCCTCCACTCCCACCAATCGTTTCACATCAAAACCCGGCATTTCTGGCGATATCTTATGAGATGTTGTGTTTAATTGTGAATATAAAATACAAATCAATACAATTCACGTATGAATATAACTGAACACTGATTCTTATCCCAAGCTTTTAGACAGCTTTTAAATACAGGTGCTGTCACCGTATATGTCTGCCCTTCCCTCCCATACCTATCCGTCCCTCTCATACATAGTATACTGTAATTCAGTAATTGTTTAATTGATTTCTAAACGAGAGGTCAATAACACAACACATATTAAAAACACATTTCCCACACAACCACTCACTCGGACCCCCACTACCAGTGCTTATATGGCTCACACCTCCCATACACTCACATACATTGTGTACCCCTTTGGAGACCCGGGACTATCGCTATTGGTATACAATGTAGAGTCTATGCCATAGACTGTCGGTTCGCTTTCATTTTCATAGTCTGCTTTTAATTATCATTTAATATCTAGAAGTCAAGTCTCTCTCTCTCTCTCTCTCTCTCTCTCTCTCTCTCTCGTCGATTACAAACGTGTATTGAAATGTAAATCCATTTAAACGCTTAATAAGATTACAATATTGAGACAAAAATGATTTCAATTTCGGATGGGAAAACATGATTGTCTCCAATACTGACCCCATATATACCAAGTTCTCACACATACATAGTCTTCAATACCCAGAGGTGTCTGTCTTTTTCAAGACTACTGGCCTATTATTGTCTATGAGGTATGGCGTGGGATATAGAGATCGAATACTGTGATGTACACACTTTTAATCCGGCACAGTTTTGAATAGTTTCACTTTCATTCACACTCACATTAAACTATTTTTAATGCAAACTCAATTAATCGCATTTAATTGTAAATTCAAATGAAATATACCGTGATAAAATATCATTTTTTATTTCATTTAACTACATTATCATACAGTAAACAATTGTATATCTAAAGGTATAACTTATAGACCTTTATTACCAATCCATTTGATACCAACTATATGTAAATATGCACTCCACCTGTGAGACAATACCAGTCAATACGTATAGTCACATGATATCAAGCTTTAGTACAGTTAATGCTATTTCATTACAATAATATTGATAAATAGTTGGTATTAAATGGATTGGTAATGAAGGTCTATAAGTAATGAAACTTACTGACTTGTGAGAATTCAATTTTTACATTTATTACAATACTCTTTGAAATAATTATTTCATAGAATTTAGCAATAAATTAATTGTAACCCTATTTTCATACAAATTCTGCCGACAATACACACATATACTGTATAATATATGATATATTGTACACATAGTCCCAGAATAACTCTAATGTACCTAAAGTGACCCAATTTGATCCCTATATAAGTTCCTATCTGTATATTAATATAAACAATTGTGATCATTTATTTATCAGACAAACAATTATTTATCAAAATTTATTTAAGTTTCATTTAAGCACAAAAGTTTCATTATTATTAAGTTTCAAGTTTTCAGAGTTTTTGTTTTATTTATGCAGTTTTTTCTTATTAACTAAATGTATAAATATATAAGACATTTATTAATGAAAAACAGACTAAACATTAATCATTAAAATTTTTTACACATAAAACACAATAAAAAAATGAAATATTAAAAAATGATTTGAAAAATTAATAAAATAATTGAAGAGCTATTACATAATATACTGATTAAAATCAACAGAAATTGACAAAAAATATGATAATTTAATGGAAAGGGAGGGAAAGTGATGTGTAAATGACATAGAGTTTAGATTATATCTACTGATAATCACTATCGCTAAAAGTGCATTATATTTGCCATACAATTACTTGAATTACAAGTTTTACTCACATTTCCAAATAGGATTAATTATCTCAAATTTATTCAACTTTTTTTGACCACAATTCTAAAGTAAAAGTGTGGTTTATCGTACCGAACAACCTCCCTCACCATCTATGGAAAATTAGATGGTATTGCAGCATAATTGTTTTACTAACAACCTATACTTTTAATAAAAGTTACAATATATTTTATTAATTATCAAAATATTATTAATATTTAGCATAGTGTTTTTAATCTCAATTAAGTTTTGCAAATTAAGCTTCATGAAAGATGGTTATTAATTACTACTGTATATCTAAAATAATAATATGATAGGGTTACATGTTTCACAGATGTTTGCTGCAACCACTAACTTGTACACTAAGGCCCGGACACTTTCCGAGTGTAATTTTTATGATTGATATTTTAAATTACCATTTTAAATAACTCTTATTATGTTGTATCATAATCATTTTATTAGTGTATAAATAAGACTATACATTTAATAGTTTTCATACAAATTTTTTATTATAATAAATTTATTAAATTTTATATATTTTTAAATTAACAACATTTAATTAAACATTTATTAAATAACTTACTGTACAATTTAACCTAACTTGTAAGAGAGCGTTCAATCTATGGTGAAATGACAACTTTGATTATGTATTATAAAACCTAAAGCTAAAGTCTTACAAGCTAAAGTCATATAAGTTTACAAGTCATACATACAATGTAAATGCATACAGTGTAAATGCACATGTTCGTGTTACATCATACATGTGCATAATTCATAAATCATACATGTATTGTATGAGATAAACAGTCTTAATCATTCATTAAGCACTCATTTCAACAGCCCTTTTAAAGCCGACTTGACTGATTTCTGACTGCACCACAAAATTACCACGCTTAAATTTAACACTAGCATCGGTATCGGTTACGTGATATAAATAGAAATGTTGTATAATATTGACCAGGGCCAATTTGGTCATCAGCAAACCAAAGCGCATACCAATGCAATTACGGGGTCCGTCGCCAAAGGGTAGGTATGTATAGGGTTTGATGTTATGGCGATTTTGGGGCAAAAACCGGTCGGGTTTGAAAGCAAACGGATCGGGATAGTGATCGGGGTCGTAATGTATGGCATACACCGGGACCTCTACTACCACTCCCTTGTCTACCTTCACACTCAACCCCTGAGTATTGTCGGTGAGCAACACGTCCTCCACGGCCTCCCTCTCCACACGAACTAATGGCGGATACTTTCGTAGGGTTTCCGATACGACGGCGTCCAGGAATGGGAGTCGGGAAAGGATATCGTAATTCATGTCTCGATTCCCATTCATAGCGGTCTCCTCCCGGAGCCGGTCCTGAATATCGGGATTGAGTGCCAATTCGTGCAATACATGGGACACAGTGTTCGCCGTTGGGTCGTAACCGGCAATGAAAAACAGGAAACACTGGGCAAAGATCTCTTCGTCGGTAATGCCGGTGACGTCCGGATGGGCCGCACCGTCGGTCCGGTGACTGCCTTTCATTAGGAACTGTAGGAAATTGTGACGTTTGTTTGCGTCGTCGCACCGGCGGCCAGCCATCAGACCGGCGGTGAATACCCTGTGATACAAGTAGTCCGAGTGCCACCATTTGGCCAGACTATTGGCCACAGGGTTATCAACTAAACATGTGGGCAAAACATTGGTCACCAGTACTTTCCATAGGGGCACAGATAGGTAACCCTCAGGTTCGGTGGTGAACAGGTGGGTGGGATCGGTGTTGACCTTGGTGCTAAACGCGCATTGGCCCAACGCACTCATTATATACTCGCTAATCAACGGCCGCAGAGCTACCGGCGACCCATTGGCGGCGACCCGACTGTCCAATCTGTCGACCAAATCCCGACAGCACCGGTCAATGAGTGGGTACAAGCGCTTAAGTTTACCACCGGTGAATGCGGGCCCCGCAATGGCCCGTATGCGGCGCCAGTCTTCATACGGGGCCCGTATAAGCATTTTGGACATCAGGGTAGCTTTGCCGCCGCTAGGTGCCTCGCGGTTTTTGAACAAGGTGAACTTTTGGACGAGGATTTGTTTGACTAGCGCCGGCTCCGCCACACGCAAACTGGGCTTTCCGTATATGTATACACTGTTTTATAAATAATCTAAATTTAAAAAGTTCAGGATGAAATAGGGGGTATTTCTACACACTCTCAAATCTAAATACAGTCTACTCAGCTAATAATGTACTAATTTTTAGTTAAATTAAGAAGTTAATTAGTTGTGTATTACCCGTATATCCGGCCATATTTTTTATACCACTTGAGCTCCAAATATGGTCTGGGATTTAGACTCAGCGCCAATACGTTGCCATAGATTGGCACCGGTGTCGGGCCCGGTATGTTCACCCTTTCCCAATAGCTCAGTATACGCCTCCACTTCCTGTAATAAATATGGTGTTTAATATGGTATTTAATTTACCACAATTAAATACTTACATATAATTGTATAGTATAGTGATTACCGCAATTACGGCCATCAAATACCATACATGATAACAATGCATGATAATAAATGTGAACCAGTAATGATTTCTAATATCGTTGATGGTCAAACTGTTTACCAACTTTAAGTCTAACATGTTTGTTATTATAATGTTAATGTTGTAAGCAAGAATAGTTATTTTATACTAACGTTGATATTATAAAGTCTTTAATATCAGCGTTAGTATAATGTAAAGCTAATTAGATAATTATGATAATTAATTTAGATAATTATGCTTTATAATTATAGTATTTTATTTCAGGAAAATTCCATATAGTACTATAGTACGATTATTTACTATATGAATATTCAACACAAAGAATGCATTGTACCTAAGATTATTAAATGATTTAATTGAACTGTATATATAACTAGTCATTTTACCAGGATGTCATTACTTTATATACAAAGAAAAATTATATAATGTAATGTTTACTTAATTAACTAAATAATGAGTTATCAGTTAATTTTTATTATTCTTTGTGTTGCAAAAAATATAAATTACAAAAAAGTAGTGAAAACTATAACCAGGAATAATATATAAATTTTTTGTTATTACAAACATGTAAAAAATTAAATTCTATTAACAATTAATTTCTTTGTATTTTTAGATTGGTGTATTTAATTTTCTTGTTTTATGATGGTTGACAGCTAGTTATCAACAAAAATTTAAATTGATACTTTATTCTACTCTCTTAATGTGGTCAAAATATATTATTATTATTGATGTCTTAAAATTTATCATTATAAATGCTAAATCATATACAGTATTCTGATTATGTTGTTTTTGCTATTAAATAGCAAATTGTCGTTTTACTGACGCACATTTGTGATTATGCACAATTTTTATGTGAGAAAATAAGATGCTTTAAAAATAAAAACATGCCAATTAAAAAAAATTATTATCCACTATTTTGTAATCAATTAAAATTATTTTAAAACTAAAGTAATAACTAAATTGAAACCAAATTTAATAACTTATTAATTAATAACCTTTTCATTCCCTTCCTTTCCCAACCCTAACGCGAAATGTTTTGTTTGTGTTATAAAAATTTGCGTTAAAATTGTGGCAAAATTTTTAACTAATAAAATATCATAGATACATTATTAGAAACATCAAATATGATTAATTGACATTCTAGCTAAATAGATTATTATTTCATTATTATTAACTTTGATTTAATATTAGGTAGTATTTTAAATAATGTCAATATTTTTAATACACAACAAGTACTTATTTAAAGGTATAAACATCTGAAAAAATTTAATTAAGTAAATTAATAACATAGTAATTAAAATATTTATAATTTATTTTATTTATTATATAAAACATAAGATTTATAACTATTAAAGTCAATAAAAAAAATAACATGGCGAATAGTTTTTTATTTATTACTCTAATGTTATGCATTGTTTATGCAAAATCAGGTTAGTAAAAAACAAATAAAAAATTAAATAGGTAAATTATTTGTCACAATAAACAGCATAGATTACTAGTATAAATATTGTATAAGTATAAAGTATAAAGTATATATAAGTATAAACAATACCAAAAAGTAATCTATGCACTTTACAAACAAAATCATAATGAATGAATCAATATTAATCACTATTTAATTAAATTATAAATTTTAATTTATCTACATTAAACAGGAATTGAACCTGGTGAACAAGGATACAAGGGACCAGTGTTGTTTCCGGGCAATGGACAATTCCCATCACGCCCATGCAATCGACCAGGGGAGTTGATCACTAATTGCGGCACCAGTTGTCCCAAGACATGTGCCAACCTGGGTCAAAAGATGATGTGCACAATGGGGTGTGTTACTGGTTGTTTTTGTCAACTGGGCCTCGTGCGCGATTATAAAGGTTTTTGTGTAGAACCCTCGGATTGTTAATGATATCTTAAAATTTGATCATGTTAATTTTGTTTACTTAAATTAATTATTGTAAATAAACTTATTAACGAAATAAAATAACAAAATTCAACAATTAGTAAATCAATTACGTTAAGATTAGTAATCTGACTTTATTTAGCTTATTTTAAAAAATATATTATATTTATTTTTAATCAAATCTATTTAGAATCTGAATTTCAGATTAAATAATTATTCATGTTCGTTTATTTTAGATCAAATATTATTTCTTTTATACAAAAGTAACAAAATACAACTTTAGTGGAATTTATAAATATCAATAATTGATGTAATTAAAAGTTAATTTATTTGCACAATTTTTAAAGTAAATTCCACACTTAATATTAATTTTAATTAAATAATAAATGTTACATTAACTAAATTAAAATGTAATTCTAAACATGACAAATAATTTTTAAAAAAATCTATTATTTAAATTTAACACATATACTGTATAAAACACATACATATAACTTTATAATATTTTTAAAATGTAATTAAAATTTTAATTATTATTGATTGACATACTATATTGAAAGTTATATATTGAATTTTATTAATATAGGTGTATAATTAAATACATATTAAATACATATATGTATGTGTGTATAATTAATATTAATTATTTTAAAACATACTTTATATTTAACAGAGTTAAGTAAAAATTGTCAATAATGGCGAATTGTGTCTTATTTTTCACATTATTGTTAAGCGTTGCTTATGCAAGACAATCAGGTTAGTATTAAAAATAATGCTAATTTAAATATATAATGTATTTTTTTCAATAAACTTCCGAAATCCGTATATCTTTAATACGTTTTTAATGTAACACATTTTACATTAAAAATGTCTACAATGCCTTTAAAAATTAATTAATTAACTATCCTGATTAAATAATAAGTTGCTATTTATAATATGCAGGAATGTGGCGTCGTGGTGGGGGATCCGGAGAAAATGCACCACCAGTTGCACAGCCTGTTTGTAAAGTAACAGGTGAAGAATACCAGTTGTACGGTAGCCCGTGTCCCGATACATGTGCCAACAAAGACGACAATGGACATCGTATGTGTCCATTGGTTTATGAATCTGGATGTTTTTGCAAAAAGCCCCTTGTACGCGATCATCAAGGTCTTTGTATTCATCCTGATGATTGCAATAGAATGTGGCCTGATGCTAGCAGATCATGGACAAACGAACCACCAGTTGCACATCATGTTTGTAAAGTACCAGGTGAAGAATACACAGAGGACGGCAGTGCGTGTCCCGATACATGTGCCAACATGGACGACAGGGTAGGGCGTATTTGCGCAAGGATATCTGGATGTTTTTGCAAAATACCCCTTCTGCGCGATCATCAAGGTCGTTGTATTCATCGCGATGATTGCCATAAAATGTTGCTTGATAGTTGGAGATCCAGGACAACCAAACCACCAGTTGCACAGTCTGTGTGTAAAGTACCAGGTGAAGAATACGTACTACACGTTAGCCCCTGTCCCGATACATGTGACAACAAAAACGACAAGGGACATCGTCCGTGCCCAGCAATTCTGAAGGGACCTGGGTGTTCTTGCAAAAAGCCTTTTGTGCGCGATGGCCATGGTCGTTGTGTTCATCCTGATGATTGTAATCGACAAGGTAAACAGTGTTTAAAAATTAATTATTTACCTCGATCAAATAACAAGTTGGTATCTATAATATATAGATGTCGGAACGTGGCATCGTGGTGGGAGATCCAGGGGAAACGAACCATCTGTTGCACAGCCTGTTTGTAAAGTACCAGGTGAAGAATACGTACTCCACGTTAGCCCCTGTCCCGATACATGTGCCAACAAAGACGACAATGGATATCGTGCGTGTCCAGCAATTCTCAATGGACCTGGATGTTCTTGCAAAAAGCCCCTTGTACGCGACGACCATGGTCGTTGTGTTTATCCAGATGATTGTAATCGACAAGGTAAAAAAGCTTTATAAAATTAACTATCTACTTTGATTAAATAATAAATTGCTATCTATAATATACAGAAAGGTTGCCCAGGGAAAACGAAGCACCCGTTGCACAGCCTGTTTGTAACGGAACCGGAGAAGAATACGTACTTCACGTTAGCCCCTGTCCCGATACATGTGCCAACAAAGACGACAAGGGACATCGTGCGTGTCCACTAGTTCTGTATGGACCTGGATGTTCTTGCAAAAAGCCCCTTGTGCGCGATCATCAAGGTCGTTGTATTCATCCTGATTATTGTAATCGAGTGATTGTAATCGGGCCAGATGGTGGGAGACCTAGGACAAATGAACCACCAGTTGCACAGCATGTTTGTAGCGGTACGGGCGAGGAATACCAGGTGTACGGTAGCCCGTGTCCCGACACATGTGACAACAAAGATGATAATGGACGTCGTGGGTGTCCAGGGGTTCCGTTTGCATCTGGGTGTATTTGCAAAAAGCCCCTTGTGCGAGATCACCAGGGTCATTGTATTCATCCTGATGATTGCAATCCACAAATTAAAAATGGAACATTTTAAATTTTAAATTAATTGTATTTTCATTTATAAATTAATGAAATAAAAAAATTAATAATTACATTATTTGCAGATGTAGCATTTTTTATATCTATTATTAATCTGTTCTAATCTAGCATATTTTACACAATATTTTCTATTATACACCCATGGGAACATTTCACGGACTGCGGCACCAGCTGTCCCAAGACCTGTGCCAATATGGGTGTGGAGATGATGTGCACAATGCAATGTGTGTCCGGCTGTTTCTGTCAACCAGGCATGGTACGCTCTTATCGAGGTCGTTGTATTCTACCTGGACTCTGTAATTTGCCAATTTAATAATTGAACATGTTCAATTTTTAGTTAAATGTATTTTCATTAACTAATTAATGAAATAAAATAAATAATTGTAACAGTATAAAAATTAATATTATTTGTTATACCGCTAACAAACTATGTGAAATAACTTAAATTAAATAATGTACATGTGTATTTTACAAATAAAAATCTACGATCATGGTATTAAAACAAAGAATATCCTGATATAACAGTAGTTACACAGATTTTAACCTTGATAAATCAAATCAAATCAAACTTTATTGGAATCTATGATCAATAAAAATTGTTTTTTATATAAATCCATTATAAATATGTATAATTTTATAAAACATTAAAAATAATTCTAAAATTACGATAACAAAACACTAACAACATTTCTATTAGAAACTTGCCTGTTAAAACATTTTATAACTATGCATATAGTTTAAATTAATGATTAAAGGCTAAAAACTTTACGTAATGTCTACTCCACCCCCTCTAATACAATGAGGTGTTTGTCAAGTGTTTGTCAAACACTCTATGCAAGTGTTTTGTTACTGAATACCATTGCAAACACACTAACAATGTCTACACAAACACACGCCCAGAGTATGACATCATACTCACAGTACACACTCGATATAGTTAACATGGACAATTAAATGAATCAAACTCACCATTATAACTATAAAACAAATTAATAAGTATATAAATATTAATTAATAATCATAATATAACTTTATCTGAATTTTACCAGAATGTTTTAAATCATAATAATTAATAACTACAAGCATTAACATCGCGTTAAGCGTTACTTATAACGAGCGTCGACTGTATCGCCCGACACAACACTCGACACAAACGTAAATAAAAGCGTTAATGAAATGAAACGATAAATAAAAACAACAAAAATAAACTACAAATTAATGAAAACAATTAAATTGCTATCAAATTAACTAACAATCAAAACCATACAAACCTGTGCTATACTGAGTGTGTGTTAACCCAAGCCATCGATTATCTCAACCAAACTGCACAACACATCTGTTATAACAGACATTTGACTTCACAGTAACCATCAGTTGATAGCAATCATTCATCGCTACGGGACTATGAATGAGGGCAACAACACCGGCACCGTTGGGACACTCATCCCGACGCCCAACACCACCGCCACAGCCATCACCGCGGGATCAGTTGCCTCCGCGGGTGATCACCAGCGCTGCGAAGACACCACAAATCTATGCCAATTTGAGGTCTGTATTGTTTTGGCCACTAATCAGTGCCACTGATTATCATAACTAACCGTTACCTATGGTTACCCCCTATCAACAGCACCGGCAGCCCGTCGAGAGTCTGGTGACCATCGTTTCGCGGACACAGATTCCGCCACTACAACAGCAACAACAACCGCCACAACAACTACAACAGCCGTCCATCACTGGTGGCCACCCGGTTATGGGCGCTCCGCCACCGGCCTATTCAACCATTCCGGGAACGGTTCCGCTGTATATGTCACGTACGGCGGGTCCGCCGCCCTCTTATGACGATGTCATCAATCCGGAA